GGGGGTTTTGACGATTTTCCGGCGAAACTTCCGGCAACGATTACTCCCATCTCCGGCGACCTTTCACAAAATTGACAGCATCTATGTACTCTCCATATTCATAGCTCTCATATGAAAGAAGAAGGAAGGATTTTGGTGTGGAAATGAGGAAGAGGAGAGTAGCATTTATAGCCAGAGAAGAAGGAAGAAGACAATTGGTGATCCTGGTGATGATGGGTCGATTAGTGCGCAGGGTTGCGATGCTGATGAATTTCTCACGATTCTTCTCTGATTGGGACTAATTTGGTCCCAGTCGGGGTACACTTTTTTGTCCAACTTTATCCGAATTGAATTCCGTTTGCACCGTTGCGATCAGACAGTTAAACTCTATCCAACGGTATAATTTTTTATATTTATTCGTTATACTTTTTCCGACATCATATTTTTGGGTGGTTGACTTTGACAAAGTCAAAATTGATTCAATTGACCTTTATTCAAAAAGGTTCTCATAATTAATTCATATAATTTATTTCCATGATTTATTTCAATAAATCATTTCAAAGTTCACATTATAAACAATTTCTTCATTTATTCTTAATTTGGATCTGTACTCAGGTTCTTAATCATATCACACAATAAATCAATATATTGTATTTATCTTTATTATGTTTATTGGATATCAATATATATTTTATTTTGGCCCAAAGCCCAAAAAATAATTTATTTTAATCAAAACAATATTTGTTTAATTGAATATTTAATTCAATAAATTTTAGGGTATATTTTGGGGCGTTACATTTCTTCCCCCCTTAAAAGGAATTTCGTCCTCGAAATTCTTTTAAGGCCAAACATTCAACATTCTGTAGTGATCTTACTTAATCATGACCGTGTCATGTTCATTCGGCTAAATCATATTCACGTCATTATCCACACGGATATGTATTCTCAAATCGTCGATGTTACGAAAGTGATCTTACTTAATCATGATCGTGTCATGTTCATTCGGTTAAATCATATTCACGTCAATATCCACACGGATATGTATTCTCAAATCGTCGATGTTACGAAACTTGTTCTTTCTTCAAGAGATTAACAATCTTTGATTAAGCAAGACATTCAGTGATCTTCCAGTGTCAACAACTAAGGTTTCTTTTCCATGTATACAGTTGTATATTTGACATACTCTCACATAACTTCGTTTATTCATAATTCCCAATTGTACAACGTTGATTAACGATATTCTTTCTTCAATCAAAAGTCCTTTGGTAGCATTTGCAGTTTCAAGTTCGCGATAGATGTAGTGGAATATTTGGAGGTTGTTTAATTCATACGTCATAGCGTAACTTTTTCAAGTTACTTGAGTCATCTTCATCTCGTTCACATAGTTCAACAATGATTCGTAAGTAAATCAATGGCTTTTAGTGGTCCAAGATTCTCAAGATATGGATTTTGTCATCATTTACGAAGAAGTACTGTCGATTGGTCGTACGGTAGTTTGCCATTATCGATCTCTTGTCGAAATAATTCTTCGTTCATCTTCGTAGTAGTTCTCATTATCGTTAATGAGTCTATGTACCAATTCCTATTTATACATGATAACGTTTGAGTATCGTCTCGTGTACGTCTTGTCGTATTCAATTTTCTTTCATTAATTTTAAAACATATCTATATATGATAGCGACAGATTCGGTTGTAGTACTATAGCTGATCTCGTTTCGAGAAAAAGAGAATATTTTCAGTATGTGATTCAATTCACAGATTCATAGAGTGAGGAATCTTTACTAGTTCTTATACCAATATCGCATATGGGTTCGGGATCTTCACTTGAATGATTCAGCCTATTCTTGTGAGCTCATTTCTTCTCTGGTTGTCGCACATACATTTCCTTGTTTGGATTCTAACAATATCATCGATAATAATCTTCAAAGATAGCGTAATAGTATTGATCATTTTGTAGTCCACAAAGAGAGGTTTAACATAATGTTTAAGTCAGGGTAGTTTTACTATTGTGATCGAGTCACGTATTCCACAGGGTATAGTTTTCAAAGATCAATATCATGGTACCACCGAGTATTGTTTTGGTTTCAATGAAGAATCATTTTGATACAAAGAATGATCAAGCGATATGTTTTCAAGGGTGTAACAAGTTTGAGTATTTCAAGGATATGAGTTACAAGATATCAAGACAGCGTTTGCGGATTACCGTTACTAATCGTAGATTTTCTTCCTTCAATGTTTCACTCTTTGGAAGTTACTCAAGAGGTCATTATCTTAGGGTTTTAGACATTTGGACTTTTCATCTCAGGTTTGAACGTATTCCAGGACATCGAATCTAACTGTTCATGAGTCTCAACACGTCATATCATCAGCAGACCGTAGTATTGGTGAGTACGTCATTATGAGTAGGTAAATCGAATCCATCTTTGCTGCACAAATTTCGACTAAGGATAATTACCCTTTTCTCAAAGATCAATTTTCAAGTATATATATATATTGCATGATTGTGATAAGGGTATCTCACATTCTCACATTATGGAAGGAACTTCTCAAAGACTTCCTTATACCATAAGATTCATTGGTCTACTTGGTAGTCATTCTCTTGGTAGAAATCCAAAGTTTATGGCTACTACGGTAGAGTTAGGAAGGGAATTGATAAGGCGAAAGATTAAACTTGCCTATGGAAAAGGTAGTGTTGGCCTTCAAGGAGCTGTTGCTTCAACAGTCTTTACCAATGGTGGTCTCGTTAGAGGTTTCATTCCTGGTTACATAGCAACACGAGGTGTCTACGGACCTACGTACGGTGTAGAGCATACAGTTTCCAGCAACTATTACAAGTATTTCGAGATGAATCACGCCGTGGAAGCTTTCATCATTCTTCCCGGAGGAGTTGACACTATGGAAGGTTTGTTCACCTTGATATCGTGGGCTTCTGAAGGGTTACACAGTAGACCCATTGGTCTTTTGAACATTGACGGTTATTTCAATAACCTAATCAAGTTTCTAGACGATGCGGTGAGACAGGATTTCATGGCTTCCACTCAGAGAAAACTTTTCATTTCTTCTTGTTTTCTAGGTGAGCTTTTAGACAAGCTAGAGTTCGCTAAAGCTTTTCCGGCTTTTGGGGCTAATTATGAAGAGTTTGCAAATCCCAAGGGATTAGATTTGGAATTACATTTGTAATATTACTTCATGTAATCCCAGTTGTATTTGTGTCGGAATGATAATAGTTATGAATATTATTCTGCGTTGTATGGCCAGTGCGATCTGCATTTCTTCATTATTCAATCTTTCACTGTTGGTGTCACTATTTCACGTCTTGTTTTATATTGTCGCCACGTCGCAATCTTTCATGTCAATAGGGTATACGAACAAGTGAATTACTTTACTTCATTATTTCAATCAGACTACATCGACTTTTTTGATGATAAGCAATAAGGTCATTAATCGCTTCATAACAAGGCATCAGTTCATTCAACACGGTTGAGCGGTCTATAGTTTCTAACAAGCAAGTTATTTGAATTTGATCGAATAGGTCGTCAGTTCATAGTAAAGGATAGCAATTCTCGATCGTCACTTTGTTCAAGTTTCTTAACAGAGATTTGTGAGTATCTTGACCGTAAGTCAATCTTAGAGAATACAATGAATTCTCTTAGTTGATCAAATAAGTCATGATACGAGGTAAAGGATAACGATTTATTCAACTGACAATAGTTGATATAGAGTCTCATTGATTTGTGTATGAACAAAACAGGCATTCTCCCAAGGAGGGAACACTTGATCAGATAATTCTTTGTCAGGAAGTCATTGATGGAAACACGTTCAATACAGAGTTACGAATATTGGTCCTTCAGTTCAAATCTTTCTTTCGCGTATCACACGAAAAGACTTTACACTCCTTTTGGTTGAGAGGTTTGCGCACACAAATTCGAGATGAACTCGGTCGGTTTAAAAACTAGCTTTGCTTTCACCTATATAAGGTTTCCATAATCGATCTTCAGTTGAAGAATTCTTCGTCAAGAGTTGTCAATATCAACATCGTTCGATTAACCAATATATACTAAGGATAATTGTCAAATTCCTTGTATGGTATTTCAATGAGGTTTTGCAAGGAATTATTGCGTAAGGAACGATTTCGATTTATGTGATATAATCACATATTTGTGTCGTAATGAATTAGAAATCCGAATGGGATACTGCAGATAACAGAGATTATTAAACGTTCGTGTTTGAACCAGCGATTAGATCGTCTTGAGTCTACATGAGGATCTTTGACATCAGCTTCACAGGTGTTTCTCAACCTTTATTGTTTCTTCAGAGTCATCTCACTTTCATACAACTTCGCGATGCAGATCAGTTTCATCACTTTGCGATGCGATGCAAACGTTAATAACGGATCAGGGGGTCATATATTTTTTTGTTCATTATTTCGTCTCTTCATTGAGTATGAAAGTTCTACTAGAGTCTATGCTCAATATGATTTCAGTACTAATCAATTGTCATCTAATGAGAATTCTAACAAGTCAATATATGTATCTAGTAAATTCTCATACCTTTCCTGGAGCAGAGGGATGCGAGAGTCGTGAATGTGATTGACAATGTTTGTTTTTAAAAATCATTTTTTTCGATCCGAAGATCGGGTTTAAAACCATTTGCTCTGATACCAAATTGTAACACCCTAATCCGTCCAGGTCTGCAGCCCCTTTCGGACTAAAGTATTAACTTGATAACCGTAAAATTTAAAACTTTTCAAACACTTTTATTTATCATAATAATATTTTTGATATCATAAACAGTACAGAGTTTTCAATATTGCGGAAGCTAAACGAATCATAACCACAAACATAATTTATTTATATTCTTTAATTCAAAACCATCACATCCATTTCGACTATCTCGCCTTTGTCTGCCTCCAGGATGATGTCACATCATTCTATTGACCTGCGTGTAGCAAATAAAACATACTACACGCTCAGCAGTAAAGCTGAGTAAACATATCTAATGCGTCGAACATCCATATAAATTGTATCTCANNNNTTTTCAATATTGCGGAAGCTAAACGAATCATAACCACAAACATAATTTATTTATATTCTTTAATTCAAAACCATCACATCCATTTCGACTATCTCGCCTTTGTCTGCCTCCAGGATGATGTCACATCATTCTATTGACCTGCGTGTAGCAAATAAAACATACTACACGCTCAGCAGTAAAGCTGAGTAAACATATCTAATGCGTCGAACATCCATATAAATTGTATCTCATCTCACAATCAAATCATTTGATATCATGCACATAATGTTCAGTTCAGATATTCAATAATCAATTTTCAATTTTCAACATTCATTATTCAATCATTCAACATGTGTATTCATCATTCATATTCAACATTAATCATATAATATTCATCATCTGTTATTCAACAATATTCTTAAACTATTCTAGTCTAAGGCCAATCTATTTGATATTTACCCTCTTAAACTATTACTAGTTCAAGGTACTTCTAACCAACTCTTAAGCTAGGTCATTAGTTTAAGGTACATATTCCGATTTATTTAACAACTCTTAAACTAGCCTTCACTTAAGGTACAAATCCAGAAAACCGAACAGTAGAATACTAACTGTCGGGTTGGGTGGTATCCCCAAACGAGTTCCTCGAGTTTTGTTTGTAGATCCCGTACGTACGTTTTAACCCAGGCCACCGAATACTCATGATTATACCCGCAAGGCCTATTTCTAAGCTATCTTAGAGGTCTTCTAGATAGTCTTAGAGACCAAGGTCAACCTAGGTATATCTTAGAGTTCTTCTAGATATCCTTACAATCCAAATCATTTCATAATCATCAACAGATTAATTTCAATTCATAATTTAATCCTTGATAGTCATTTTAATCAGTGGTTTCATCAAGCCGTAATCATCATAATAATCATTCATCATAATCATTAATCAACATAACATTCGATAGCAAATAGCGGCCTAGCTTCGAGTGTTAACACCTTTGCTTACCGTCATGCATCAAACAAAGCCTTCGAATTTGTCCAAATATCATTTTTTTATTTTCATAAATCATATTCATATTGTTCATAATTGAGTGGTGTCAAAAATAAGATTTTATAGCTTCAAAAATAGCATTTTCGGACTGAAAAATGTTCGTAACGGTCGACCGTTGGGTCTGAACGGTCGACTGTACCGTTCTGAAAAATTTCACTTCTAATGGTACCTAGACACGGTACCAGGTCCCGTATCAGCACAAAAATTTACTATTCATCATCATCTTCATGCGGCCATTTTCCTCAAACTCCATTTTTGGTTACCAAACTTCAATTAAACTATATATAAATGTTCTCCAAGGTTTGTAGATCATTTTAGAGGCATCAATTCAAAGTTTTAACAACAAATTTGAGTTTTATGATTCTTGGTTCTTCAAACATGTCAAACACAAAACTCAACCAAACGACCGTTTATGAACGTAGAAACGATCTATACGAACATTCTAGTCATTAGATATATCAACGGGCTTACCTCGAAGCGTAAGGGGGTTTTGACGATTTTCCGGCGAAACTTCCGGCAACGATTACTCCCATCTCCGGCGACCTTTCACAAAATTGACAGCATCTATGTACTCTCCATATTCATAGCTCTCATATGAAAGAAGAAGGAAGGATTTTGGTGTGGAAATGAGGAAGAGGAGAGTAGCATTTATAGCCAGAGAAGAAGGAAGAAGACAATTGGTGATCCTGGTGATGATGGGTCGATTAGTGCGCAGGG